ATTGCATTGGTTTTCCCAGAAGGAGCAAGAGATGACATTTCTGATGAATTAGATACGAAGTTAAAGGCATATCTAATTAATAAAAGTAATCTCAATCATCTTCGGAACTTGAACGGATTTAGAACCGATTCCCCACAAATAATCGTGGGGTAGAAGGAACTCAAGTCCACCATCACCATTAATTCTCCAATTTACGAAGGAATCAGCTCAGCTGTTCATGAATATACAAACACCGCTATGAACTGGCTTATTAGACAAATATCAGTCTCTATTGATTCTAGCAGATTGAAAATTTCAATCTCACGAAATTAATCCCTAAAGGGTTCCTCTGGAGTACAAAATTAGATTATATTAGATAAAATTCAAAAAATAAGATTAAATTAGATTAGATAAGATATGATATATTAAAATATATTAAAATTTTATGAAATGTTTAGTTAATTGTTAGATTAAAGTAGGATTAGACAAGTACTTGACCTTTTAAGTTAACTGACAGCCAACCAACCAGTCAGCTTGAGGTGCATTCTTTTTTTTTTTGAAACTCGTTCCTTAATAATTTATTCAAAAAATAAAAAATAAAAGTAAGATTAAACAAAAAAAATATTTATATAGGCAAAACTGCCCTTATATTATAATGAAATCTAATAAAATTTTATTTTATTTATTTAGCATATTATAATAACTTTAATATTGAAATTAATTGAGATAATTATAAAATAAAAAATTGAGATAATTATTATCAGTTATTTTTATAAAAAAAACAATTATAATAATTATTAATTAATTACACATTTTTTTGATAAGTTAATTAATTACAAATTAACCACAATAAAATCATAATTAACTATAATAAAAAAATTTCATTGTTTTCGTGCAACCCAAACAGTAAAACCACAAAACTAATAATAAAAAAAATTTGAAGTTCAAGGGAAAGTCAATAGTCGACGCTCACAGCTTTTGCCTGGGGAAACGTGCAAAGTTAGCAAAAGCCAGGCTCGAACCATGGTCTCTCGTTCTTGGGACTGTTGGTCGTTGCGGCACTAATTCGACGTGAGGGGAAGGGAGAAGTATCGATTTGTTCGGTTACTCATGGAGAAGATGGATTCCGGCGACCGGCGTGCTGTCGTCAATACTTTGTCAAAGTGCACCGTCTCGAACGTGAAAAAAAGGCGTTGGGCGAAAAAAAGGAGGAAAAAGGGTAGAGAATCGTGGGGGATAGAAAGGGTATAAAAATATAATAAAATTTGAAAAAATTATTTTATAAAACAGATTGTATACAGTTTATTTTATGAAATTATTTAAATATTTTTATTTTTATTTTTATATTATTTTTTAAAAAAATATTTAATTAATTTTATAAAACAAATTACATACCATCCAGGCATCCATATTGTAAAACAGTTTTATGATAAAATTTTATCCCACCTAATTCCACTGGAAAGGTGAGATATTTTTTATCGGAAGGAATTCAGGATGAAATAAAATATAGAATAATAGTTATTTCATCCTCTAACCATACCAAACATGAGATATGGTGAGATGGGACAAAATTGTTTTCCCATCTCATTGTTTACCCGACGCTCCAAACACACTGTAAACTGCAAATTTCAATCCTTAAAATTGCTATAAAATGGTGTCATATTTCCTCTCTACTTCAAATCAAGCCTCAAAGTAACACAAAAAATAATCTGTTTGCTTTTTCATGGCGTCTGAAGAAACCATAAACCCAATTCCCAAAATTGAGGGTGAAGATGATGAAGAAATTGCCCCCCAAATGACCCACAAGAGATGCATTGAATTGCCCCAAAACCTTCCCAGAGATAAAGGCTGGATGACTGAACATCTTGTTCTTTACCAAGGCTTCTGGCTTACCCCTGACTCTGCCCTCAAGGCCGTCATCTCCATCCAAAATCGCTTCTACCCTCGACCCTCTGATATCTTCCTTGCTTCTTCTCCCAAAACCGGCACCACGTGGCTTAAAGCACTCATCTTTGCTACCCTAAACAGAACCTGCTATGACTTCTCAACACACCCTTTACTAGTCCATAATCCCCATGACTGTGTTCCTTTATTGGACACCTTCATTCATCAGAATGATCTTGAATCATGGCCTTCGCCACGCTTTTTGTCAACTCACATGCCTTACACTCTGTTGCCCTGTTCCATGACTTGTGCAAGTTCAGGGTGCAAGTTGGTTTACGTCTGCCGCAATCCAAAAGACGTGCTGGTTTCCAAGTGGAAATTCATGAACAAGTTAAGGCCAAAGCATCTGCCACCCCTTTCACTTGACGAAGCATTTAAGCTGTTTTGTGAAGGGGTGTCACATTACGGACCTTACTGGGACCATGTGTTGGGGTACTGGAAAGCAAGCTTGGAAAACCCTGAAAAAATATTGTTCTTGAAGTACGAGGACCTGAAGAGGGAGCCATTGGAAGGCGTCAAGAGACTAGCTGAGTTCCTCGGAAAGCCTTTCTTGGTGGAAGAGGAGAAGGCAGGGATGGTGCAGGGGATTGTGAGGCTGTGCAGCTTTGAGAATTTGAGGAATTTAGAGGTGAACAAAAGGGATGTGATAAGGTTTAGCAAGGACATTGTCGTGGAAAACAGGAACTTCTTCAGAAAAGGCAACGTTGGTGATTCAGAGAATTATTTGACTGCTGAGATGATGCAACTTCTGGATGAAATAACGAAGAAGAAATTCTTTAGTTCTCGGTTGATATTTGGAGCTTAACTTTTATTGGGTTTCATATCTACTGAAGTTTGAAATTTAAATCTGTAATTAGAAGTATATGTAAATTTATCATCTACCATGTTATATGATTGATGGTAGTTTGGGGCTTAATTGTTAGTATTGGGTTGATCCCTCCCATAGAAGAAAATATTTGGTATGACAGAAATAGAATTTCTGTGTAACTAAAAACCAGCCAACTCAATAAAATAAATAAATAAATAATTTGAAAAAATTGTCCCCACCTTTCAATTGAACAATATACGCTAGTTTTTGTTTTTTTAATTATACATAGAGTATAGTGTCTGTCAATTTAAATTTTAAAAA